TAGTTCTATTGAGTATGCCAATACGACGCTTGGATAGGTTGAGCAGAGAGATATACACGGGAATCTGCGGATACACTAAATTAATATGCATCTAGAACAGTGGCTTAAATTTTCCTTAATGTACGGACTTATGTCCTTAATTCTGGTTCTGATAGGGCGACTGGGGGTTCTGATAAAGTAGGTCTGTAAGAAATTATTTTTGTTGCTTTCTATCTGTTAGTCATATGGTGCTTCCTCTGCGTGATCGGAAGATCCAACCTGGAATGAAACATATGCAACTCTATTTCTACACACATTATTATCTATGAAACTATTTATATCTGTTAGCCATATGTTGTCCCCTCTGCGTGATTGGAAGATCCGACCTGGGACACAACATATGCAACATTCTTCTTCTCAATCCCTCTATCCTAGTTAGCCATATATTGTCCCCTCTGCGTGATTGAAATATATCTGACCTGGGACACAACATATCCATATATATCTAAATCTAACTTCCTCCTTAATAATTGTTTACTCACCTAAAGTAGGGAGTTCTTTGGAAGTTCTTGATAACCAGGGTATATCGGGAAGTGAAGAACACATTCTAGTGCAACTAAAATCGAACCATTTAGAGGTTGTCTGTAGATCTCACTTGTTGATTTAGGTGGACAACAATATTCTTGGTCGTTGTCAGCTGAATGGTCTTTTAGGAAAAATATCTAAGTTCACAAGATTAAATGTCTTGTCACTAATAGTCTGTCCGAAATTTTATCACAAATATTTTTGGTTTAAGTGGACCATAATACCAACGATTGACCAGACATAGACATGAATGTAAAGGTACCGATAAGTGGATTCAGTATGTCTAAGAACTTTGATCCCAATATCATAAAATTATGTTCAGTGTTAGTTGAGATAAATCAAGTCTGTTTTATTTTTTATTTTTATTTTTATTTTTATTTTTATCTTACTTTAAATTTTTATTTTTATAGCCTAAATTTTAATTTCCATCATAAATTTTTAAACTTTAGAAATTATTTATTTTATTTTATTTTATTTTTATTTTTCAGTTCATTTTAATTTTAATTTTTTTTATTTTTAAGTTTTATCCTCAAAATGTTTTTTTTGGAACAGCAGGCATAAGATAAAATAAAATAAAGCTAGTCAGGGGCTAGGAGGTACACAATGTCCGGAAAAAAATAGACAAAACAACACAAACAACAGGAAAGGGAAAGAAAATAAAAAAGAAAAATAGCTACATCCTGCAATAGTACTCCAGGATTGGGTCGCAGCACCACTCGACCCAACGTAAATTCCGACCTTTCCGATTCCGCGCACTGATCCAGAGATGTGAATGTGCTTGTACCTCGTATGCCAGTACCGATATTGATAGCGGGCTTGAGTTCGGGCCGTGAGCCTTGCTATTCCTGAATCTCCAAATTATCCATAAGAAAACCAACATTATAGCCTCTTGAACCACCTTCAGCATGTGATGTCCTCCAAGCGAGTCTTTAGAGTCTAACAACTCCCTGCAGGAGTTAGGAGAGTTTCCAAATAACCGCCACCAACTGCAAACCTGTGACCAAGCTTCCTTTGCGATCGGGCATCCCACAAAGATGTGGTTTACTGATTCTGGGGCTTCATGGCAGATTGGACACAAATTTGAAGAACTAACGCCAAGCTTACAAAGATTCTCCATACATGGAAGTCTACCTTGGCATACTCGCCAAACTAGGATGTTTATCTTCCCAGGCACAAGTGGGTTTCATATCCATCCGTCATTACTATGATGCAAGGCCAGATTATTAATGTGAGTTCGCAAAGAGGAAACAGAATATTCCCCCGAGGGGTCAAGAGACCAAGACCATTTGTATGAGCCATTTACATTTAATGAGTTTTGGAAGTACGATAAAAATGGCACCTGATCCTTCTCTAACGATGATGGCAAGCATGCTATTGAACCCCAACAGCTGCTTCTTCTTTTTGCGGACATACGGTGAGATACTCCACCATCGGATCCATGAATGTCTTTAATTACCAAAGCCCATATGCTGTCAGGCTGCTTCCTGAAATGCCACCACCATTTTCCCAATAAAGCAAGATTTTGTGCCTTTAAGCTGCCAACACCGAGCCCACCTCTTTCTTTGGCTGCGAGGATTCTGTCCCAAGCGACCCATGCCATTTTCTTTGATTCCCTACACCCACCCCAAAAAAACCTCATCCTGGTTCTTTCAAGGCTTTTAAGAACCATTGCAGGGGCCTTATATAGTGAGAAGTAAAATGAGCCAAGGCTACTTAGAACGGCTCTACATAGGGTCAATCTACCCCTAAACGACAAGGTAGAGGCTTTCCACCTAGATAGTTTTGCCTGGAACTTTTCAATGACGGGTTTCCAGTGAGTTATTCGGGCCATCGAAGCACCAACTGGAAGACCTAAATATGTAAAAGGAAGAGAGCCAATCGAGCAGTTGAAACTACGAGCCACCAATTCCAGCTCACAATTTTGGACACCGAACCTATATAGCTTACTCTTTGACATATTGATCTTGAGCCCCGATGATAGTTCAAAACATGTTAAAATTGTGATTAGGTTTTTCGAGTTTTCTAATGACCATGACCCCATAAATATCACATCATCGGCGTACTGAAGGTGGGAGATTATCGGGCCACGGTGGGGGAGCTGTATACCATTAAAAACTCCCTTTTCTTTCGCCAATTCTAATGCAACATGTAATCCTTCCGCTGCGATAATGAACAGAAATGGGGATAGTGGATCCCCCTGCCGGACACCCCGCTCCATACCAAATTCTTTTGTTGCGGACCCATTAATATTGACCGAAATCCTTGTTGAAGCTAAACATCCTCGGATCCATGTTCGTCATTTAGCCCGAAATTCCATTTGGTGCATGATTGAGTCTAGGAACTCCCAATTAAGACTATCAAAAGCTTTTTCAAAGTCCACTTTAAATGTGAACGCTTTCTTTTTGTTCTTCTTGAACCAGCTAATGACTTCGTTAAGGATGAGAGGCCCATCTAGAATATTCCTATTTTTAATGAAAGTTGTTTGTGTTTTGCTGACCACAAGATGTACCACCCTTTTCAACCGTTCAGCAAGGACCTTTGAACTTGTTTTATATAAACATCCGATTAGGCTGATAGGTCGGAAATCATTTATCATGATCGGGTCTTGAACCTTTGGAACGAGATTGATAAAGGATGAATTACATCCTTTTTCTATGTGCCCTGTAGCTTCAAAATGCTTCACTTCAAGGTAGAAATCTCCACCAATCACCTCCCAATGTTTTTTTAGAAAAGCGAAAGAGAATCCATCGGGCCCGGGAGCCCTGTCCGACCCACACACCCAAATGGCTGATTTAATTTCATCGAGGGAGAAAGGTTCTTCTAGGAACTCAATCGCATAGGGGGGTAATTTCAGGAGATTTGGGCTGAGGAATTTAGGGCGTGATTTGATAGGCTCCGCAAATCTATCGGCGAAGTGTTTAACTATCCTCTCCTTGACGTCTACAGGATTAGTTAGCCAAAGACCATTTTCTTTAATACCATTTATCCGTTGGGATCTTTGGTGCTTATTAATCAGACCGTGGAAAAAGGCACTGTTCTTATCACCTTCTAGAGCCCATTTAGTTCTAGACTTTTTCTTTAGGTCCTCAATGCGCCGGGATTCAATTTCAATGATATTTTGGTAGGCGTTCTGTCGACTTTTAAGTAGTTCGTTATTGACCAGCCCCTTCTTAGCCAAGAGGTCAATGTCATTTATTTGCTTGTGAGCTCAACCATCTCCCTTTTAGCTTTCCCAGTAACCTCCTTTCTCCATGACTTAATATGCTCCTTTAGGTTTTTTAGCTTACTAGCAACCACAGAGAGGGGGGAGAGAAACAACTGATGCCTTGAGCAATTATTTATTGACCAACCACACCTTAAAATTCCCACAAATTCTGGATCTTTGAGCCAAGAATTATAGAACCTGAATGGTGATGGACCAAAATCAAACTGAGAGGCATATAAGATTATTGCACAGTGATCTGAATGCACCCTAGGCAGGGTTGTGACATTTAGATTCATCCATGATTCAATGCAGTTGAGGGAAACTAGAAATCTATCAAGTTTGCTGTGTTTGTCACCAGATGAATTCATGTATGTGAATCTACGGCCCCCCTTTTTAATTTCTAATAAACCTAGAGAATGTATTAATTCATTAAAATGATAGGATGAAATTGAAGTCTCCAAAGATGAACCAGCAATATTCCGAAGCTGAGTTTACAAGGTCGACCAAGTTATTCCACAAATACCTTTTCCTTAGAGGCTCCTGAGGGGCATACACATTTACAAAACAACAAGATTTTCTCGATCCCAACCACATACCTTTGATTGCAAGAAAACCTTCTCCTTTGATTGACTTAGAGGCTTGAAAGAGAGAGGGGTCCAAAAAAGAGGCAATTCCACCAGATAGCCTCTCTGGGTCAACAACCTCACATTTGAAGTTGGATGAACCCCAAATTTGTTTATCTAATTTATTTTTTATCTCCCTGGATTTTTTTTCCTATAGCCCGACAAAAAAAGAATGATTTTGCATACGACTATGCCTGAGCCAATTCCTTTTTACTTCACACCCAATTCCACGAACGTTATTGGAGAGGATATTCATTGATCGATAATAGTCACTCCACGGGATTTAATCATCTTCCTAATTTGATCAGAATTATTCCTTACCTGAAAGCCAACCGATTCTCCAACATCGATTGTCTTGGAAACCTCCATGGATGTGGCGTGCGACTCAACCGGTTGAGTCTGAGAAACTTCAACCTGTGACAGGAGGTGAGGCCAAGACATGCTTCCTTGCAGATTTTAAGAGTCGCCAGAGGTATGGGCTGGGGAGGGGGGCAACCGTATGGGGGGAGGGGACATTACGTGTTTGGGTAGGACTCAGAGGGGAAGGAATGTTGTTGCGATCGGAGCATAAATCGATGGGGCCAGATGGATTTGAGTGTGATGGAGCTCTATTTAGGTCTAAGGGGAATGGGCTGTGGAATTTTAATAACGGGAGGAGAACTGGCCCGTCTTCTAAGTTGGCCCAAAGAGGAAAAGGATCCGGATCCGAAAACAACGTGACCTAAACCCGAAGTCAGTGGTGGTTCGGCTTCTATACGATTCTCCACGAGTTTAGACAATCGAGGAGTTCCCTTGGCTACCGAGCTGGAGATGAAGGCGTGCAACTTTTCCACTTCCCCAACCTGATTCCATGCTTGCTCAGACTTCGCCGGAGATCTTTCCGATGATTGCTGAGACTTCGCCGGAGATATTCTCAGAGACTGTAAACTAGCTTCAGAGTGGTCTGGAACGTCACTATTGAGACTGCCATTATCACTAGTGCTTTCTTCATCCCACCATGACATCCTTTGGTAGAAATCGTTTGCAGCAAGCACCGGACTAAGTTTCAGAGATTCAAATATATCCTCCATGATGTTTATCTGGTACGATTTTCCGTCCACCAAGATTTTGATGGAAGAGCTGATGATTCCGGGGTGAGATGTGAGTATTCCAACCCTCCCAAAGGCCAAATTTGGAGAGTCTGTGTTGCATTCTTCTGGGATTAACACCGACCCCCACGATCTTGCGATAATGTTAAAAGCTTCCTCACACCATGCATGTTGAGGCACACCGTGGATGATTATGGATGTGATTCTTTCAGTAAAGTTACCTTCCACGTCCCAATTATTGACCTCTTTAAACCACAGCTGCCAAATCTCCTTCCCATTGTTCATGAACGCGACCTTTTCCGATGTATTCTCGAATTCAAGAAGCATATTTAGGCCTCCCAAATACCTTAGCTGTATTGAAGGCCATCCCTCAACCTCCTGGAAAGCTTTCACGTTTATTAGAGCTTGGAAGTTTTCTACTTCCCCCACCAAGGTATTCTGCATGGCTTCTCTTGACTCCAGGCTTGATATCATTTTTAATACTTTCCTTGCAGGGGCCGACCCATCGTCTACTTTGCTTGACTTACTGGATTCAATGTTTGCGGTTTGCCTTGTCCCCTTAACAGCATCGGGAAATGACCTGCCTTGTAGTCGCGTGTTCATTGTTTGTTTTGGTTGTACTCTACTTGTGGTTTGAAAGTTTCTTGTGCAATTCTCGTTCTCCTTACGTTGGTATCGTGCAACATTGGCTTCAATCCTATGTGCTCCGATGTAAATCTCATTGAGCCGTTTTTTCAAAGGAGACAATCCTGGATCTGAATAAATCTTACAAAGCCAAAGTTCTTTTTGAGGCAGTTCAATTTCTTTGCAATGTAGACATCGACAACGGTCCCATATCTGTTAAACATTCTCCATAATGCAGCTTCATCCCAGTCTGGGGGGAAATTCTGAACATAGAAGGATACAGCTTTCCCGTTAACTTCGAACTCTTTCCCGTAGTTCTTTCTCCGGTGTACTTGACTCCAACCCTCTTGGCCTTCTCATTCTTGGTTCTCTCCAGGCGACTCCATTGTTTTTATGGGGCGTATTTATGGCCTGCTCTTCAAATTCATGAAAACCAAAATAGTTTGGGTCTTCCCCTCAAAATGTTTTATTTCTTAAAAACAAATTTTTTGAGTATTGGACTTAGTTTTACACACTGTGGATTGCAGCCCAACTTTTCAATAGGGTATATAAGTGTGTTTACAACAAAATCTACTCCACCCATTCAGTTTTGGAATTTTCGGCCGTAAACTCCACAGTGCACTCTCTCCTTTGAAAAAAAATTCTGATTTTTCGAGAAATTGATTCATGATTCTTGTAGGTATGCTAAAACCGACCAGTGATATGTAATTATTCCATCAAATCGACGGATTTTTAGGGCTTAATCGAAGAAAAACATTCGTCGGCGTTTACAGCCATGGGTTTATTGCCGCCGTTTACGGCCGGCCATGAGTTTACGGCCGTAAACCCCATTTTGACCATAAACTCATTTTGGTCAATAAATTGTAGAATTTTTGTTTTTAGGCCAAAATAAATTGTTTGATTGGGAATAACATAAATTTTATATTGTTTAGATGCTTTGTTTTCTCACTTGGTATGTTTTGTGCAGTTTAAATGGCAAACCTCAAATTCACTGACAATCACAATCTAGCAATCCTACTGGTGGAACCTCCTGTTGCTCATGGAGAGTTCAGGTCAATAATTCATGGGCTAAGGGAGTGCTACTTGTCTACTGTTGTCACAGTAAATCCTGTTGTTTATCATGGCATCATCAGAGATTTCTGGCAATCTGCTAAGCTGAAGAAGGGAAATAATGGAGCTATCTCTGTTGAAGCTGATGTGAAAAGATGTAGTCTTTGCATAACAGAGCAATCTATCAGAGAGGGTCTTCTAACTGATGATCAATATTCATTTCCTACTGAGATTGGAATCAATGACGTCCAAGAGATCCTTGTCAAGATGGGGTATGAAGGAAATTTTCCTCTCACTGTGAAGAAACTACTGCCACTTTATCGAAGATTTTTGGCTCACATTTTTGTGAGTTGCATATCTGGCAGAAGAACTGGTGCTGACGAGATTTCATTGAGAAACACAGGAGCTATTATCACACTTGCTGCTGGAATCAACTTCAACTTTTCAAAATTTATCTTGGATAAATTTATGGTGAATATCGAAGCAAAGACATGGGACACATTCTTGATGTATCCCAGGTTCATTCATAGGTTTATTGATGTGCAATTCCCAGAGATATTCAAAGAAGGAGAAATCCTGGATATGAGGTCTCTTGGTCCACATACTGTTGGACTGATCAAAAAAAATCGCAAGGGAAAAGTCGTCTTTCAAGGAAAGTTTCCATTGGTTAAATTTGGAAAGTTTGTTAAGCTAAATGAAGCATCTGAATCTCATTGGTCTTCTGACAGAATATCTTCAGAGCAGGTATATTCAGAAGATGACATCATAACTATTTCAGATCATGACATGAAGCTACTATTCCTGGTGCCTCTGTAGCAAAAGAACAAGATATGACATATGTGCCTGTTCAAAGTGACTATAGTGAGGGAAATAAGGAAACTGCATCTACAAACACTGAAGATGCTCATGATTCATTCGAGGATCTCGATCTTACTGGCTTTGAAAAGGATGATATTCCCTTAAACTTTGGAAGAAATGAAAATCTTTTGTCCAATGAAAACCTCGATGTGTTCCTTGACAGTATCCATGATGTTGCTCATCCAGCAACGGAGATACAGGAGACTAAAGATATTCTTGAAACCATGCCTCATATCTCCAATCAGATGACTGACAATTCAATTCCGAAGGAGACAGTTTCAGGAATTCCTCCCCTTGATAATGTTCTTCCTACCATAGAGCCACCTGAAAGTGATCCTACAACAACTCTGACCTCCTCGCCTACTGTTAAAAGAAGAAGGCTTGATCCAAGACCTGGTGTGTTGATCTTTGAACCATCTCAAGGCCAACCAATTCATCCAACACCTATTCTTACTGCTTACTAATCTGGACCATCTCATAAAAGACCAAGCACCACCTTTGATGTTGGTGGTTCCTCAACACCCGTAGATTTTTCTCCTCCTAGACCTAATCATGATGCTGCCTCTGTGAGACTTGCTCTGCATTTAGCTAAAGAACAAAGCTCAGTGCCTTTTCCCCGAGCTAAATGAATTTCTATTGTAGAAGGCCACTTTGGAGAAGATAATCCCACTATCCTTGGGCTTCAAAAGGAGATAAATGTACTCAATCAGAAAAATATTGAGCTTGACATTTGGGTAGCTGATCTTATGACTGAAAATACCAAGCTCAAAATTCAAGTTGCTGATCTGGACTAGGGTTGATCTCACAGAATTATCGAATGCTCCTTTTTCAAATCCTTCACATGATCCCAAGGCAACACATTTCAAGCAATTTTTGGAGGATCAACTGAAGAAGGGTTTTCCTGCAATGAAGATTGCGGATTCAATCATCAAACAATATCCCAATGTACTTGATCCGAAAACCAATCTTCTTCTTCAAACTGTGATGTGGCCTGCCAGCACCCAAGTGAAACAGATTCATGCACTTCAGAATTATCCAAATGGATCATTGCAGTCCATGCTCTACTGGGTTTTTGATGAAACTAAAGCTTCTACTATCATAAAACTTAAAGATGGATGCATTCGATTATATGACAAAAGAGATCTGTTTCAATTTGGAAGATGGGATATTCATCAGTTGAACCATCATCAGATAAAGGTTGCAGAAGATATTTTCGAGCCAGCTGCTAAAGAATATACTTCTCTGGTTGCTGATATCATCTTGTCGACAAAGATTGAGTCAAGCTACTCCCAAACCAAGGGGGGGTTGAAGGGTCCACGTTATGGTTTGGTCTATGCTTTTCATTGTAGAAGATTTTTTGAGTCATTTTATGTATTTTCAGGTTGTTTAGGTGTTTACGGCCAGGTCATGTATTTACGACCATAAACAGGTTTACGGCCGTAAACGCTGTTTACGGCCAGAGTCTTCTATATATAGGGTTGGTCAAGGTCTTTTGTGGTTGTTGATCATTTATTATTTGCGGCCAGAGTATTCACAAGTTGTACCAAACGTTTTTGTGATATAAACGTGTGCAAACTTGTTTCTTCTTCTTCTTCTTCTACTTCAATTCTTACTATTGTTGATTGATTAATGGCTTGATCATTGGTTAAGATCCATTTGAGGACCTTACAAACACTTAATCCTAATCGTCATTTCATGTGAAAACCCTAATTTCACTTGGGGCTTGAGTTGGGCCTTCCTATTGGGCCTTAGTGATTGCACTATTGATGGGATATCCAAGAACAAGTAAATAGATCGAAATAATTGGATGAGTTTTAGGATAAGGCCCATGTGAAGGACTGGGGCCCAATTTTGAAAATTAGGCCATAACTGGGCCTTGATGATCATGTGATATTGGGACATTGGTATACCAATAGTTTGGACTAGAATTAATGGATGCGCCTTAAGGAAAGATCATATAGAGGTCTGAGCTCAATTTGGAAAATTGGGCCATATGTTGGGCTTTGGCCCATTACTTGACTTTTGGGCCTTTAGAGTGTAAGTTTGACCTTGGGCTTGGAACCCAATTATTAATTTGGTATTGTTTGATGTTGGCAGTTCGGGAATCTGTCAACCAGTAGCTAGAGTTTCATCCGTTGGACTTCAGCAGTGCCAGGTGAGTTGCCCTTACTATACAAACAGGGTCGAAGGCACCAATGCCAGCCTTATCGGATTTGCATCCGGGTTTATTGCATGATATCCTTATTGGTTTACATCCTGGTGGTTTGGATGGTTGCTATGTTAGGGATTGGTTAGATTAGTATCCTGGTTATAGGATGGTTGCTATGTTAGCGATTGATTAGATCGGTATCCTGGATATAGGATGGTTGCCATGATTAGTGATCTGTTAGATCTTCATGCTTAATTTTTTTTATATGTATGTGTACATGTTTGTTGATTTGGGGGAAAGGGTTGAGGTAGGTCTTGCTGTGTGCAGTAGGCCAAGACACCTAGGGAGAACCAGGTAGATTGAAGGCCCGGGCCGGGGAAATTTAGTCAGACCGAAGGCCCAACGTGTGGTCTGCATAGGCTAGAGGCCCCAAGAGAGCGGTCCAAATGTGTCGAAGGCTCGAAGAGCGGTCTAGATAGACCGAGGGCCTGGGGAGGCGGTCTAGTCAGACTGATGGCTCATTATGCATGTCGTTTGCTTATTTGTTTATATGATATGGTTATATCTATATGGCGTTGGTATTTTGGGGGTAACTCACTAAGCCTTCGAGCTTAAATTTATGGATTATTGTTTCAGGTACTTCTGCTGATCGCGGGAAGGCGAATGCGTGATCTTAAAGCTCCTCATATGTCATGATATGTGATTTGATTATGGGGATACTCTAATGTTTAAACTATTTTGAAAACAAACAGTAATAACTTAATGGTTTTAAATGTTTTTAAAAGTTTTAAATTGGATTGAATTTTTATGGATGTTACAGTATTCTTGTTGGATCTATACTTGAACTTTTCTTCTATACACTTTGCTACCACCTTGCTTTTCAAGATTCAACTTTCTAGTGGAGAAATAAGCTCATAAATGATGTCAAGGCTTAAAAACAAGTGATAGGAGGCTACAGTTTCTTAAGGAATGATATTAGGTGATGGAGGCTGGTAATGAAAGGGTTTCCCATAAGTTAGATGTGACAACCCTAATTTCATGGTCAATTTAAAAATTCAGCGGATATACTCTCGGTAATCGGGATAAAATGAGCACTCTAGGTCAATATATTCACAACAACCCATATCGAATCAATACCCTGCGTCATCCTGGGCAAGTTAGTGATGAAATCCATAGTGATATCCTCCCATTTCCACATAGGGATGGGTAATGGTTGCACCTTGTCGTGAGGTCTCTGATGTTCGGCTTTAAACTTCCTACAAGTAAAACACCGCTCAAAAATCCAAGCAACTTCCCTATACAT